AGTGAAAGATAGAGCAAGAATGAGAGAGAGAGAGACCAAGGGGAGAAGAAAGTACCAGACAAGTAGAGGCTGTGGCTTAGGAGAGAATGTCCAATGCACAAATCACAGGTGACTCACCTTGCGTACAGCGGATGTTGCTTTCCAATTGCTTGCACACTCCACAAGTCCTCCTGTCAGCGGATGGTCTGCCAACGTTGTCCTTCGCTGAAAGCGCACAATCTAGCTTTCCCCTGCCGTTTTGTGTCTTTGATCATGACATGTGCAGTCCAGAGCAGCCAGGGCTGTACATACAGGTGGTCCGGGATTGGCGCTTGGATTCGACCCCGCACGGAGGCTCTGAACTCGGATAGGAAGGAACATGGCTGCGTGCGTGTGGTGTGTGCAGGCTACTGCAGCTCTGTAGCCTTGTACTTGTAGTCGATTAGTTAGTTCTTAGTCAGCAGGGTTGTACTTGTTGGCTTCTTATACTAGCCTAGTAATGCTTGAGGCAAAGAGGAGCACTGTGCGACCAGAGCAGCCCGCGGTGATTGCCTGTCTTCTTAGCACTTTCCTGACGAGATGAGTAACCTTTCACGCAGTGAGCCGAGAGTAAAGCTGTGTTCACAAGTGTCGCATATACGTATGGAACAACGCGTCGGTGCGTCAGTCACAAAATCCGGCAACCTGAATGCAATCCCGCCCGGCGATACACTGCCATAGCACCTCCAGCATTACTCTGAATACTCTGCCTACTGGCATGCGACTCGGCTTCTATGGTGGGGTTGGATTTTACTATCCAGATACAGCCGGCTAAGCAAGAAGACTGACGCCACACGAACCCGTAGCACCTCTCCCAGACACGCAACGGTGATCATCAAGTCCCTCCGCAAGCCCGTTGTCTGTTTGTCCTAGTCTTCTGTCCCACTTCACTGCTACCCCACATCATCAGTAATCATCGCGTACCTGACGTGATGACTCAGGTCCATTCCAAAAAGAAGTCGCCCTAGCCTAGGTGGTTTACTGTTTGTACAGTCATGTACTTGTACTTCGAAGTAGACAGTAGTGACCTAATGACGGTTGGCGGAGACCCTGTTGTTGTGAACGGCGAGAAGTGTATAATTATGACTTTTGTTTTGCCAATAAAGTACTTCAAACTCCACCACACCTGTTGTTTTGTCGACATGAGTAAGAGGCACCTCATTGACCCCGCTCGTTCTTCATTCTTCCTTACATTTGGCCTAAGCGAGAACTAGCCAAGCTTGCTGGGCGATGTCAACTCGAAAATGCTGATAACAATAATAATAATAATAATAATAAAGACAACAATAATACCATCAGCCCCCATTCACCGGTTTTGACGGTGCTTCACTGATGTTGAATGAGAAGAATTATATTGCTGCCTTCAGTGCTATTGTGTCGCTGAAGGGCTCGATTTCAGATTTGATGACGGTTACTTTTCAACGGATTTTGTTTTCTGATTTAGCTCTCTTGCTATTACTGTACCTGCTTGTGTTAAGTCTCATTCTCGCAGATTAGTTGTATAATAGATTGTACATGCATCATTGTAGATTTGCTGTTCACAGTATTTCTCTCTTTTTTCTTTCTTTTTTCTCAGTCTTCCTTATTACATTTCCTTCACATACAACAGCAGTACTCCCCATGGTCTTAAATGACCCGGGATGCTGCATAATACAAACACAAAACCAATAAAGCCACCCCCATAATAATAATAATAATAAGAAAGGGTTTGCAAAAAATAATAATAATAATAATAATAATAATAATAATAATTGAAGTGTGAGTTACGAAGTCTGAAGAAAATGTTGAACGGTCTCTGCTTGGATGACGACTACACCATAGCTCAGTGGTTAGAGCATCGTTGGCTACAAGCGAGGGTCCCTGGTTCGAGTCCTGGTGGTGACAGTCAATTTTTTCTTCAGACTTTTCCCGTTTGTCTCTTTCCCTCAAAACCAGTTAATATTTTATGACTTGGGGCTCCCCGCGTGCTAGTTTGTGCGTGAAGTGTGTGGGTACAGTGAGGGCTGCGTCCCACCCGCCTGTGTGGATTCACAGGAAGCGTGAGTTACGAAGTCTGAAGAAAACGTTGAACGGTCTCTGCTTGGATGACGACTACACCATAGCTCAGTGGTTAGAGCATCGATGGCTACAAGCGAGGGTCCCTGGTTCGAGTCCTGGCGGTGACAGTCAATTTTTTCTTCAGACTTTTCCCGTTTGTCTCTTTCCCTCGAACCAGTAACGTTGAACGGTCTCTGCTTGGATGACGACTACACCATAGCTCAGTGGTTAGAGCATCGTTGGCTACAAGCGAGGGTCCCTGGTTCGAGTCCTGGTGGTGACAGTCAATTTTTTCTTCAGACTTTTCCCGTTTGTCTCTTTCCCTCAAAACCAGTTAATAATAATTCAAGCGGTAGTTTGGCGGCGATCAAAATAGTTTCGCAATCTATACCTTCACATGCAAAGACGCAAATCCCCACAATCAAGCCAACACATTTCCTCTCATCTATCCAACGCTTTCTTTTCCTTGCCTTCAGGATAGTACAGGGAATGTTGTAAATTTGGAAAGGCACAAAACCATTATAGAAGCTCCGGTGTTGAGCCAATAGTAATAATAGAAAGGACATACATCTGTATAATCCCTATCAATTTTGTGCCTTGTTGTCGCACTATCTGACTGCATTATTATCTCGTTTCCCTTGTTGACTGTTAGTCATAACTAGTAACTTATACATGTAGGTCCTTTTCTCTTTCCATATTGTAGCGTTGGTAAAAAAGAAAGAAAGAGACACCACATCAACATGGGTGAGAAATGATTTTGAGTTTATAGCACTATGAACTCAAAAACAGAATGTAGCAGAAAAAGCAATAGACTCGAGAGAAGCATGTCAAAACACCGTGATGACAACAATCCTAACACATGAATGGCAGACTAAAATTAAAAAATGAATTCTACGGTTCGCGTGAGACTCGGCTGGAAGCCGAGTTTTCCGCATCCGCCGTGGGAACGCCACCACCCTCTAGGATCAAAGGCGCAGATGCAGCTCCTAAAGCGGTGGGAGGTGAGTAGATCAGACCCACCACCAAGTGGTCAAAGACCTAAATCCCATTAGCTGCATCCATGTTACCCTCGTGCCAGGCCACGAGTTCCCAATTAACTGTGGGTCGCAGCACGGCTGGAAAAATTCCTTCCGCTTCCAAGCAGGACTTGAACCTGGGGGGAATGGCAGACTGCCATGAAACAATTGAGAGAATGAAGATGATGTCGAAACGTTTCAACATTTCGCGGGTGCCGGGTGGTGAGGTGCATGAGGTGTTGTCAACTCCCTCACCTGACACCATGGGCAGGGTGTGGAACTGGGGATCTACGTCAGTCTACAAGTGATGCAAAATACGCCATTGTAGGTCCAGGTCACGGTTTACCACGTGAAGAAATGACTCTTAAAACCCTGATATGGACGATCCGGGGGCACTGCCAATCAGGGAGTAGTACAATACCATATTATACATGTATTGTACTACTCCCTGCTGCCAACAGCAGTGTCAGGGTGTAAGTTGGCAGTGCCTTCGGATCGTCCATATCATTTCTTCAAGTGGTCAACACCTGGACTACAACGGAGTATTTTGTAGACCCACACCCGGGTACCCTAGCCCTACCAATGGCCATGCACATGGTGCCAGGTTAAGGAGGTGGCAACACCTCAATCCTCATGCACCTCACCACCCGCGAAATTTTGAAACGTTGTCGTCGTCATCTTCATTCTCTCAATTGTTTCAGGTCAAAGCCGGCTGGTAAGTGGTATGCTTCGAGGTGTGTTCCTGGATCCCAAGAGACAGCGCTGCTTTTACTTCAGACAGGTATCAACACGTCACCTTACTGGTTCGGCGGTGGCTGTGCTTCTTGGGAATTTCCCTGCACGACTCTGGAGACGCCGGAAGGTCAAGGTAATTTTAGTCATAGAAACATTATGGGGCACTCAAAGGTGAGCTTATACGTTATAGTCAGCGCGAGTCAGTGCGAATGACTCGGACACTGCTGATGAATCATAACACCGCTGAACACACCAAGACCATGGTCGTATTATGTTGGCTATGGCTTCAGTGTCGATGTGTGTGTGAAGTTGTGCATGAAGTTTCGCGATGATGTGCAGCGATGCACCCACTACTACTTTCTTGTAACGGACGGAAGAAAGGAGCTGCTTATCAAACAGAATGCATGGAGTAAAATAGTCTGTAGTTTGCTGTCTCAGTGTCAGGGTTCAAGAGTAATTGCCAAGTGGCGGCAGGTCACGCATTTCACTCTGCAGCTGCATCGCCTCAGTCCTTTTTCACGTGATCTACACCACAGGCGAAAACGTCGTCGTCGTCATCTTCATTTTCTCAATACAGCAAAACCTGTGACAAACGACCACCCCTTGGGGGGGGGGGGGGGGGGAGGCAGAGAAAGCGATCTTTAATGGCAGGTGGTCCTTAGGTAGATGTTTGCACTGCACATGAGACCGTCCGTGCCTGGCGAAGTGGTCTGTAGTACGTATACCAGGCTGGTCGCTAGTGACGGTGGTCTTTAGTTACAGATTTTCTGCACAGTCATGTAGTACAGGTGGAATCCTGATAATTCGATTATGGCTTAATAGGGCTTGAAAGTGATGACGTCAAAACGGCCAGAGAGTAGTAAGTTGACATCAGATTTCTACTTTTGGATCCACTAAGGTGTGACTTTGCTATTGCCTAAGTATGTGGGTGCATAGCAACCCACTCATGTCGCATGCAGGTGTGACTTTTATTTCGCCACCAGTTGTAACCCCGCCCCCAGTAGCCAAATCAGTCAGTTTCACTGGCTACATCACCATGCTGTGGGTAAGACCGCTTGAAATGTGCTTGGATCCATACAAAAACTGGATCCAAGTGGATCCAGTTTTTGAATTTTTGAAATTGTTGCTATGCTGTGACGTAGCACTTTCAAGCCCTATTCGAACATACCGCTTAATTAGAAGTTTTTCTAGGACCGATTTCTGTCAATACGATTCCCACATATATTTTTCTGATAATTCGAACCTCGAACCGGACATGTCCGATTAATTCGAAGTTCCACGGATTCCACTTACATAGAAAATGTGTGGGATTTGTGCTGATAATTCGAAGTTAGCAAAGTGCAATTCGAAGTTCACTGTACACTGTACTGGTCAGTTCAGTTTGCATGAGCAGGCTGTGCTGGTCAGTTCAGTATCCGTGAAATCTGAGTCTAAGGTCCATAGCGCAACTCTGCGTGACCATGGGAGCATTTTGACATACATAATTATTGTGTTGTGGGTTCGTGTTTGGATAATTAGAATGTCCGGATAATTAGAAGTTTTTTTGCTGGCATTTGGAGGTTCGAATTATCAGGATTCCACCTGTATTGCTTTTTCAAAGACTTTTTCATAATGTGGCCAGGCGTGCCTCTAGATCTAGTCCGGTTCTGTATCCCATATAATTATTTCTGACCAGAAAATGAGTGGAGTTTGATGATTGCGAAAACAGTAGGTCTGTGTAACGAGCAGTCCGGGTCAGAGAATGTAATATCGCGACATCGCCGAAGCCTCCGCTGACCCAGCATCACAACTTCACTCTTCAGCACTCGGCTCAGCTCACTTGCGTGGGGCGCCACTGTGTTCATGCACTCGGATTTCTCTGGTTTGAACTGTTACCATGGTGAATGTAATTTAACGGTGACTAGTGTGTAGTGCAGTGAAAAGGCCAGTACGGCAGAATGCCAGTCGCGGCCAGAGCGTGCAGTACTTGGCACGCGGGATATTCAAATGTGACCTGAAGACGTCAGTGACAAGCTTGGTCGTGACTATTGCCACGAAAATAGAAGATGAACTTTCGTATCCGCGTTTGTGCGGGCGAGCTGCGCCTACGGAGCTGGGAGTATGGCCGCCGACAAGTTAGCGTATGTTCAGTCGCCTTTTTCATCTCTTGCGCTGCCTGATACAGGTTTGATTTTAGTTCCATCGTGTTCCCCGTCGTCCAATTTAGTTTGCTGCCAAGTTTCACCGGCGTATCACGCCGCGCACCAGACTTGTAGTATTTTTCGCGACAGGTACTCCATTGCTGGATACACCGCCATCATGAGTGTTCGTCCAGCAAAAGGACCGGCGGTGAAGATGTTTTGTCGAGTCTTGGACTCAAGGAGGAGCAGCTATTGCAGGATAAGCCCCTGCCTAGCATGATCGGAAACGTTTCAAATGCATTGGTGTTAGAACTGATGAAGTTCAAAGCTGACCACCACCAGGATCATAATCTACTTGTCGAACTCTTCTTGTCTTGGAGAATGGCCAAATCACAACTCATACTTCGGCTACTCTTCAACAGTCTTCTTGAATTTCTCCAACAGTTTGCAGCAACAAAAAAACAAACAGTACAGCTACGGTATGTACATTTTGTACAGTGCGCAAGATTATTCATGAGCCGCGATCCCTGTTGTCAAGACCGATTTTGTGCCGTGGTGAGATCTGGTTTGTGTACAGTGCGGCATGGTGCTTTTCGACTTACGCCGCGCACTCTAAACTGGAATAAGTCCACTATATTTGCTCCGATTTGCTTCAAACTTTGCCAGTACACTCTACTTGTCTTCAGGAATCGGATGGTATTACAATATTTGCCCGATTCTCAAAACAGAAATTTACCCTGACATCGCTAGACTAAAGGCAACAAAGAGCCTGAGCTCATCTTATCTGGCCTGGGTCGACGCAGCGTTGCACGCGTCGCCGTAGTCATACTCATAGACCCGGGTGCTTGAATCAGAAACGATTTGACAGGTGTGCAATTTCTCATCTGTAAATCTTATACTTTTGCCGGAGAGGCGATGGAACAGGGAAGAGTCTGGCTTGACCCACCTAGCAGGAATTCAGAACCTGGGTGCGCTACAACACAAGCTACAGCGCGCAGTAAAATAGTCGTATTTCCTTCGGATTTTTTACTTGAAAATTGGGTGCTCGAATCAGAAACAGCAAACTCGTCAGTTCGTCTCCGATTCAAGCACACGGGTCTACCATCGTCTACGCTTGGTATGGCAGTTGAGGGCAGGGAGTAGTACTTACTAGTACTTCGTTTTTGAGAGCAAGATGGTCAGTGGAGCCGCAGATTCAGCAGGTCTTTGGCAGCACCGTACCGTGGACCCACATCCTCGAATCAAGGACCCAACAAAAAGTGGGTCGCGAGTATTTCAAAAACCGTTTACACCGGGCAGAGCTGAAATTTGGCATACCGTTAGCGGGCCGTATGTTGATGGTATTTGTGAAAACTAAACGAAATCGGAATAAGTTTAGGTACAATTTCAGGCTGTTTCTGTTTTGGTAGACCTACCCTGTATCTCATTCGAGCACCCGGGTCTACGTGCATAGATCGACAGTTCAAGACATGGCTTTGGATCAGGGAGTAGTAAACTCCCTGTAGCTTTGGATTTATGATCTGGGACAGAAAAGAGTTCATGATGTGCCGCACATATGCGCTTGGACAAAGTTTGTAGCTCAGCCTACAAAAAAAGTGTAGCTAGCCTGTTGCGCGGCCCATGCACTTGGTGCAGCGCCCGACCGTGGACATTCGCATTATCATGAGTGTGACTCTTGTGAGTCTCATTTTTACTCGCGATGAAGCGCTGCTTTTCTGTCGCTGCTGAAGAAGAACAGGACGTGAGCGTGGGTGCACTTTCCCAAGACTTCAAGTCAAAGTTTCCGGCGATTTCCGGCATCCGACAAGTGCTTCTCTTTGGACAAACACGGAACGAATCTGGTCCATGAGTCTGGCGCTGATGGCAAAGCAGAGAAAATAAAAATATTGTCAAAGCACAAAAAACGCCATCAACCGTGCACCTGCACGATGAGCGAGGACGCCGAGGAGCGTAGTGACCTGAACGTGAACCGGCAACGGTACGAGCTGCACTGTAGCAATACCAGAAGGTCAGAAAGCAAGGCTGCTGCACAAACAGTGGACAGTGATATAGATGATGCCATTGATGGTGGAGCCAAAGCAAATGCTCTTTCGCCAGTCCGCAGCAACATCATTTTGCTGTTTGTTGCCATCAACAACACGATCGTGTGGACCGCTATTGGCTTGATGATGCCATTCTTTGGTGGAGAAGCGTTGAAGAAAGTGCCTAGTCCGAGTTTGGCGAACCATTTTGTCATCGGTCTGATATTCAGCATAGCAACGTTCGTGGAATTTCTTGCTGCTCCTTTCTTAGCCAAGGACTTGGTGAATGTTGGAAGTAAGTTGATGTTGGTCCTGAGTACATTTGAGATTAGTGCAATGATGTTTCTGTTTAGTTTTGTCAATAAAATCGAGTCGTGGAGTATCTTCCTGGCAATGTGCCTCACTATCCGTTTAGTCCAAGGCATTTCAACGGCAGCAAACTTTGTTTCTTCATTTTCGCTACTAGTCGGTGCCTTCCCGGAGTCGAGCGGATTGGTGAATGGAGTGTTGAGGTGTGCAAATGGAGTAGGCTATGCCATGGGTCCGGCACTAGGCGGAGTGCTGTATGACGCGGGCGGATTTGCTCTTCCGTTCTACATCATCAGTGGTGTTCTTGGAGTCAATCTTGTTCTTCTCGTCATGTTCGTACCGTCTAGTGAGACTGTCCTGTCTTCAGTCAAGCTGAAGAGTAACATTAGCTATATTCAATTACTGTCTGTGCCCTGGGTGTGGATGGTGATCATAAACTTAATTATCGGGGTTTCGATTATGGGATTTCTAGAGCCAGTCCTCTCGGTGTACCTGAAGAATTCATTCAACTTGCCGACGATATACGCTGGAATTGGTTTCTTTATTATGAGTGTGGCATTTAGTGCGGTCACTCTGCCTGTAGGCTATTGTGTTGATCGCTCACTTAACCCTAGACTCATGCAAGCTGTTGGTCTCCTCATATGTGGAATAGGCTGTGAGCTAGTTGGCCCTGCTCCGTTTTTACCACTCCCAAAGTCCTTAGCTTTCTGCTACATAGCTATGGTGTTGTTTGGTGTGGGCGATGCCCTCGTTGCTGTGTCGTCTGTGCCTGATATTCTCCGAACTCTGGATGCTCAGGGCTTGGGCAGTCCGGGGGAGATGCGTGCAGCAGCTGCTGGCCTCTTCCAAGCAGGAGTATCTCTTGGCTATGGCGTTGGCCCAATGTTGGGCAGCACAATAACTGCAGCCGTCGGGTTTGAGTATGGCACTTCAATAATGGGTGTAGTATATTTGCTCTGGACTGCGCTCTTCTCCATTGCCGCACTCAGCTGTGACAAGCTGCTCATTGTACAGCTTGAGAACCTTGTGAAAGGTCATTCATAATCGACATCCATGTTATTGCTACTTGAATGGACTCAGATGGAGAGCCAAGAATCAATTTATTCCCGTAGCTATGCAAAAGACGTTACTTCAGTAATGTCTGGCACTAGCCAGGGTCCACACAGCTTTAATTTCGTGTTTGTTTGTTTGTGCCATCGGCATGCCTGGTGCTATCCCGTACCTGCCCCGTACCGTACCATCAAAGGCAGCTGGCCGCAATATTCAACTAGGACTGTCAAATGCAAGATCGTATTCATAACGCTGTGACTTGGAAGAATGAGTATGTATGCGAAGTGTATCAGGGGAATGCATGCAGGGCCATAGTGCGGGTTCGAATCCCAGGTTACGTCTTGAAAAAAAAAGGAGAAACATCCCTATGCTTGTTTGCCTAGGTCATCACGGTGGTAGACTGTGTCGTATTACTCTCGAATGCAAAGAGAAAGTTTATTTCTTTCGCTCAGGGCCCTACGCTATGCTTTTTTGGCCTAGCTCATCATGCATGTTATTCGAACAGATGGAAACGTTTTGCAATACAGTGCAATGATGTAGCCGATCAGTTCGTTGTGGTATGGTTGGGCATTGTAGTCGTCATGGTCGACGTAAAACACGATAAGACCGCAACGAAGTTGGGGCCAAAGAGAAAGTTCCATCAGTTCTAATAACATGCATGATGAGCTAGGCAAAAAAGCATAGCGTATAATAGTAGGCCCTGAGCTTCCAAGCTCTCTCGTACAAAAGAGAAAGGACCAAGGAATTACAAGTTGCGCTATACAAGTTACGCTGATGAGTCCAGCGGGGACGAAACGTATATCGCAATCGAGCTATATCGTTGCTGCGTCATCTTCTATGTGCCATGCACTACTTGATGTACCAGCCTGCTATGTCGGATACCGCCAACCATGCATTGACGAGGCACCAGGCGCGAGCTGATGGTTAGGCCTTGACGGATTATGCTAGCATAATGTTTCGCATAATTCCTACCAAAATCGAATAATCGCATAATTCGAGGCAAATTGCATACGAATCGCATAAATTGGAATAATCCGCCTGTTCGCATCAAATTCCATACAGTTGTACAATGTTCTACAAGTACAAGTACAAGTAGATGCACCAGGAAGTCGTAGGTTTACGACTCCCTTGATAACATGTCCAGTCCACTCCTATCAGTTACGGTCGTAGCTAGGTCGGACGGTGCGTTGACCCCGTTGAACTTTTGCTACTACATGTAGATCTACAGTACAACGCCCTCTACAAAAATTCCCCTGTTATTTTGCACAGAACCATCACAATATTAGCAGCATATGTGAGCATAATGCGGCATAATATGATAACTTTTAGCATAAAAATAGCATAATAATATTCTGCAATTTTTTCAGCAATGCGAAAAGCATAATTTCACGAAAATATTAGCATAATCCGTCAAGGCCTACAAGTGATGGTGGTGGTGGCGGCGAGAAGGAGAGCTCTGTGCCAGAACTTTGCAGCTTAGAGAGCGTGTGTGGGCAGGCGTGTGTTTACCGCCGTATTGCCAGGTGTGTCTTTACCACCAGATTTATCAACAATAAGTACAGCTGAAGTGGTGTCTTCAACTTCATTGTTGATTATTATTATTATTATTATTCCTGGTGGTGACAGTCAATTTTTTCTTCAGACTTTTCCCGTTTGTCTCTTTCCCTCAAACCAGTTATAGGGGAAGTTAAGGCAAAAATTAAAATTTCACCAGTTGTAGTCTTCGGGGTGCTGAGTCGAATGGTCGTGGTCCGAGGAAGCTGAGACGCTCCCTTCCTACTTGAATCCCAATCAAACTCGCGGACTTCAACCGAAACTGGGTGACTGCGCCCTACTAGATGGGGATTTGTATGCAAAATGTCACTAAAAGCGCCATTTCGTTCTTATAAAAGCATGGATGACCGCGATTGGCCCATATGTTGTAGTCTTTTGGACGCTGAGTCGATTAGTTTTGGTCCGAAAAGGCTGCGATGCAGCGTTCCTCCTTTATTCCCAATCGAACATGGTTGAAGAAGTGGTCACGTGCTCCTGCGTACACCAGTCACCTGGTCACCGTGCCTGCAGGGTACAACTTACTAGCCTGTTTGACCTTTTTTGGGTGCAGTCCTGTCACTCTAGTTGAACTCGAGTTGAATCTTGGTGTGAAAGTTGTCGCCTGCTGGCGTGGTGACCAGGTGATTTGGGCACCCTGGAGCACGTGACCACTTGTTCAACCATGTTCGATTGGGAATAAAGGAAAAACCAGGCGACTCAGCGTCCAAAAGACTACAACATATGGGCCAATCGCGGTCATCTGTGCTTTTATAAAAACGAAATGGCGCTTTTAGTGACATTTTGCATACAAATCCCCATCTAGTAGGGCGCAGTCACCCAGTTTCGGTGGAAGTGCGCGAGTTCGATTGGGATTCAAGTAGGAAGGGAGCGTCTCAGCTTCCTCGGACCACGACCATTCGACTCAGCACCCCGAAGACTACAACCGGTGAAATTTTAATTTTTGCCTTAACTTCCCCTTTAATATTTTATGACTTGGGGCTCCCCGCGTGCTAGTTTGTACGTGAAGTGTGTACAGTGAGGGCTGCGTCCCACCCGCCTGTGTGGATTCACAGGAAGTGTGAATTACGAAGTCTGAAGAAAATGTTGAACGGCCTCTGCTGGGATGACGACTACACCATAGCTCAGTGGTTAGAGCATCGCTGGCTACAAGCGAGGGTCCCTGGTTTGAGTCCTGGTGGTGACAGTCAAATGTTTTCTTCAGACTTTTCCCGTTTGTCTCTTTCCCTCAAACCAGTTAAAGGGGAAGTATACCCTAAAATCAAATTTTCACCAGTTGTAGTCTTCGGGGTGCTGAGTCGAATGGTCTTGGTCCGAGGAAGCTGAGACGCTCCCTTCCTACTTGAATCCCAATCGAACTCGCGCACTTCCACCGAAACTGGGTGACTGCGCCCCACTAGATGGGGATTTGTATGCAAAATGTCACTAAAAGCGCCATTTCGTTCTTATAAAAGCACGGATGACCGCGATTGGCCCATATGTTGTAGTCTTTTGGACGCTGAGTCGACTGGTTTTGGTCCGAAAAGGCTGCGATGCAGCATTCCTCCTTTATTTCCAATCGAACATGGTTGAATACATGGTTGAATAAGCGGTCACGTGCTCCTGGGTGCCCAAATCACCTGGTCACCGCGCCAGCAGCTTCCTGTGTGCAAAACATACCTTCTGGACTAATCCGTTAGTTTACTTGCGTAGTGTACGCATTACAAGTAATTTCGGGACGGCCAGTGTTAGCGTCCCGCCATACTAGGTTATGAATATTTTTCCAGATTTTGGTTTTCATGTGGCCACACATTTAGTTGGTGTTAGGCCTTGTGTTATATTCCAGCCTGGGTGTTCTGGTTTGCTGCGTCAAAATTATAATCACTGACGCTCGTAGTCGCCATTTGTGCATAAATAACTGTTGCCACGGAGGCCGGTTGACGTGCGCTGTGAAGTATACACTGTTATATCGAAGCTCGAAGCTCCGATATGCAATTGCCCATTTCACAAGCAATGATGCATTGTGATGTGAAGTGGGGATTGTATGAGGAGCGGAGAGCGGAGATATAACAGTCCCACCCTGGTACCCTCCCTAATCATTGAAGATCTATAAGGCCAAGTAAAAAAAAAAGCTAGATGATCGTCCCCGTCCGCCCCAGTTTTTGTCAGCGCCCCAAGAAATATTTTATTTTTTAAATCGTGAGTTTTACTATATGGACCACATACTACTAGTATATCACAACGTCAGTATCGATCTGCTGAAGAAAGAAAAAGAAAAAAAGAAAAAAAAAGAAAAAAAGAGAAAAAAAACCTTGATGTTGTTGTGTACACTGTGTGCATGAGAGGGTAAAAAGTAAAAAAATAAAAATAAAATCCTCCCGCCCTCCCCGATTTTTCCAAAAAAAAGGACGATCATCTAGTAATTTATTTTACTCGGCCTAATGCGCTGAAAAAAGGGTGAAGAAGAAGCTAGAGTTCCCGCGTTTGAGCTGATGGATCACGTGTGGAGCAGTTTTCCTTACGAAAATTTGTTTGTCAAATTTTAGTAAAACTGCGTTTTGAAAATGCTATCTCGAGCAAAGGAAAACCCGATTTCGGGTTGGAAGCTCAGGGCCCAATGCTATCACTGCGGCTTTTTTGACTGAGGAAAAATTGTTATTATGTAATTTCATTTCATCACATTTTGCTTTAGCTTTCAATGACATGGTCCTTCTTACCAGGGAGTGGTAAAATAATTTTACTACTTGTAGTGTTTCGTACTTTAGTCTAACCAGACCAACCAGAGAGCCAAGACATTAGTTCTAACTGTTGTACTACGATAAGACAAAGACCCCAGAACACATGCAATCTACTAGATATATACATACGGGCTAAAGTGGGAAGGAGGAATGGAATGCTAGATCATGTAAGTGGATCATGATGATGGGAATGCATGTATGCATGGGCTTCATGCATCTAGTCACATGACACTACACCTCCCTTTCTTTGAGGTTGTAAGAGCAAATATGGCAGTAGATTATGAAGATGGAGAAGATACCTAACTGGACGACTTTGAAAATGAAAACAATAAGACCGTTGCAGAAGGGATCCATTACAGAGTTCTGTAAGCACTAGTCTGTCCGAGGGAGTATTCTAGTATAGTGCATTGTACATGTATATCCTCTCCTCTTACAAAGAAAAGACCTAAGGCTAGGGGTGGACAGAGGACACACAGGCACATGCAAGCCATTAGAAAAGAGAACGAGCAAAAGAGGGAGAGACAGAAGAGTGGAGTATTTTGTTTGGAGAGACCAAAGTTAGAAGCGATCGGGAGCGTGAACGACACGGCCGCGAGCCGTGACATACTTATCAGGCTGGTCTTGAGCTGGAGGGGTCGATGGCAAGTTGGGAACTGCAGAACACGGCGGAGTAGAAGGTTGACTGGCTGGGGGATCAGGATCGGTAGTAGCGGCAGAGTGACCAGCAGGCGGCAACTGTTGCGGCGTTGGCATTGGGACAATGTGCCGCCGGTTGCGTCTTAACTGGCCCGATGGGGTTGCTACGATGTAGGAGCGAAAGGCTGGTTGGCTCATCACGTGGCCAGACTCTTCACGATCAGGTAGATACACAGGCTGTTGGGGACACAGAGACGGCAGTGTCCGGGCTGCATGGCGACTGGCATGGTTGGTGCTTTGGCGATCCTTTAAGCGCTGATCCGCG